GGCATAGGCAGTGCAGAACATTCCCAAGGTCCCTCCACTAGTAAATCCAAGAAAGGGCAGGGGTTCAACACTGTCAAATGTTAGTCTGCCTGCCAGGCCTACGCTGTTCCCACTAAGCCATACGACGCGCCTGTCTCCAACGGAGGAAACTACATGAGCTCCACTATTAGGCACACTGGTCCTTACTGAAAAGAACAAGTTCATCGTAATTCTGCAACTCTCTACAACGCCAGCTGCTATAAACAGTATGAAATTTATAAAAGTTTGGAAGTGTTCCCACTGTAATAACACAGTATTTTTCAAAAATAATTTACATGCTCTATACCACACTTTAAATATAGCAAATAAAAAGCTAATCCTAAATGACAACATGTGGGCAGATAATGAACCACTTGGAAATACCGTGTAGATTTTACACAGAAAATACTGTCAGCCATGAAAAGACTTGGAGTCTCTTAACCCTTGCTGCGCCTGAAGACCACAGCAGGAAGCACCGACAAACTAATAATGTGATAAGCTCAATTCTTTACACGGCAGGAGTGAGAGCTCTCTATCTTATAACAACAGTTTGGATGACTTTTTACAAAGAGTGGAAAAGAAAATTATACCCCTCTCCCACATATCAATGGAAACGCTTCCCGTGGAGTGACTCAGCCTGAAACCCTAAACAGGAGCATGGTCTCAGCATGCTGCAGGCAGCCGCAGCAGGCTTCACATTAGCTGCCGTCAACATTTGTGGGGACAACACAGAATCGAGGCTGCCAACAGCACCAGGAGCTTCTACCTTGTGGGAAGAATTTGGTCTTGTAGCAGAAAAAAGACACCAGCTCTTAATGCTCCAGAATGTGGCACTTTTTAACTTACTCATCAACAATATGTTCACACAGTTAACGTAACACACTCACTCCCTATCAAAATAATCACTGTAAACAGTTGTATTACCTGCAACGTGCCAGGCACTGGTCTCATTACTTGACGTATATTAACTTATCCAAATTAATCATTACAACACTCAATATAGTTTTTTTTTAATTTTTCTACGAGAAAAATTGGGGCACAGAGTTGCTATGCAACTTACCCAAAGTCCGAAATCTAAAATATGGTGGGGCCAGGATTTGAACACAAGCTGTCTGATGTGCCAGCTGTCTAACCAGAGATGCCGTGCCAACATCAGTCTAATCTGTCCCAATTAATTATGTGAAAAGCCTCGGAGCTGAAATAACATTTATAGCTGCAGAGTGAAATGGAATAAAACTTTGTGTCTCCCCCTAACGCACAGGCTGAAGCCCTGCCTCCCAATATGAGGGGTCTTTAGGAGGTAAACAGGAGTAGGTGAGGTCCTGAGGGTGGGGCCCTGATGAACGGGATTAGTGCCTTCATAAGACTCTCAGGAGAGCTTGCAGCCCTTCTCCTGCTCTTTCCACCAGGTGAGGATACAAGGAGAAGGTGGCGATTTGCAGCCCAAAAGAAATTTACCAGAATCCATGCTGGCACCCTGATCTCAGACTTCCAGCCTCCAGAACGATGGGAAATGAATTTCTATTGTTTATAGGTCACCCAGTCTGCGGCACACTGTTACAGCAGCCCAAACAAAGTAAGACACAGGATATATTACGGGGATTGTGGAGAGAACTCAACATCAAACAACTTGAGGAAAAGATCTTCATGGTACTATCTAGGTCCAACATTGACTATCTGGTTTTGCTGGGGTAGGGAGTCCAGGAGCTAAGTCATCATCAAGAATTCCACATTCTTACCACATCCCCCCAAAACATATAAAACACTTATTTGATATATATCAAATATAATTTTATAGCATGCTGCAAATTTAAATTTAAATCAGTAACTTCCTTGAATTTAGTGATTGAATACATATAAACAATTTCTTATTGAAAGTTATTAAGCAATTAAAATCAAGAAAGCAAATGCAATATATCACTTTTCTAATAAACTACGGGAATGTCACTTTGCCAACATTGCATTGCAACATGAAAAAATCTGATCCTTAAATGATGCTGATAAGCTGACCACAAGAACTGAATAGCATAGAAGATTCACTACTTTTATAACCTTCAGGATAATAAGTTTGTTTCCAGTTATGTGTTGACTATGGCAATTTATTACGCAACGATACATCCTAATCTAAATATTTTTTGCTTTTCAATTACACAGGAAACTTCCTGGAGGATTAAGTACAGCACTTTTCATTGTTGTCTTGGTTATTTAAAATAGACTAGCGAGTCTAATGATCATTGAATACACACTATTTATTTCATTCACAGTTAATCAGTTAATTTGTCTTCTGATAAAATCCATTTCAATAATGCATATACTCACCATGTCAGTGCTCACTACCCATGTATTGAGTGCTCACTAATCTTTGTCTCAATGTTACAACTTATACATTTATGACAATTTTTATTACCACTTGTCTTAGGTATTTCCACAAATGTATTACTAAATCAAGCATTTTAAGGATATAATTAAACATACTCCCATATTCCTTAACCAATAAAAGTAGCAGCCTATAATATTTTTAATACTTAATTATTAAATTCTATTTACCGATGCAAATGGAATTTGAATATCTGAGCCAAAGTTATTCTAAATGATCATGTAGCTATCATCACAATAATTTATCTGTTTTATACAAATGCTTCCTCCATAGGTATATTTCCTATAAGTACCCAAACACTGGAAAACATACCTTAATAATCCAGCTAAGTTCAATGTAACTTCAACCAAGCTATTATGTTTACCTTCCTTGGGAGATTATGTCACCAAACTCTCCTGTCCTCCAAGTCAAATCTTAGGGCTAAATTTTATAACTCCTCTGTCTCTCTCTTCCTCCCTCCTTCTGTCTCTCTCAATTCTCATATTTTATTACCGCCCAAGCTCTCCTCTGTTCGTTTTAATGCTACAATATAAGAATCTATGCTTTTCTCATCATCTTTCACCATCCACATTTTTCCAACAGCTCACTGGCCTGACTTCCATCTCTCTCCATTACCATAGTCCAGTACCATGTTTGCAAACTAAGCTCCTCAGAGCCTAGCATCCCCGTTGACGTCACCCTACCCCAGTCCCCTACAACTACTCTTCACTGCCTCACTCACTTTAAGCATTGTATATTTTAATTCCATCTCATTTTCACAGCCTTAGCTCCACATATTTTCTTAATTTGCAGTGTGGCTAAATGTGGGTCATCTCACTTTTTCAAATATATGCTGAATTTGTTTTAATCCTTATCAATTTTTTTCCATTTCCCTTAAAACTATTTTTTAAGATCCAATTCAAATCCTACTTCCTCCATGAAGACTTCCCTTTCTTCATCTCTAGCTGCATACTAAAGCCCTCCAGAACCCTAGACTTTGCTTGTGGCACTTGGAATATTTTCTGTAGATACAGGTATTTATCCATTAATTTCTAGCCTTCATAAACTGTAAATTCTGAGACAAGATGGTCTGTATCAGTTCATTTTTGCATTTCCTGCAGTTCTAAGCAGAGTACTCTTCCTAAAGAAGATGCTCAGAAACACTTAATTACTGGATATGACACTACAGTAAAGCGCATATAGAAATTGGAAAACATGGGTAAATCATTTTTTACTCAGTGTAGAAATCATTGAGTACATACATGCAGACAAGAGTTCAGCCATCTTAGGCTAAATTTTCTTCATGCAGTAAGTACGCGAATCATGCTTTCAGTGGCTCAAAACCGTTTTTAAGTTTGAGGACCACATTTTGATGTCAACAATTTCTGACTCTCTCCCCTCCATGTGATACTTGTTGTATTTTTATTATCACTGACTGAGAAAGTTCACGGGTTCTTCTATGGATTTGCATCTTCCATGCAAATACCCACCAGCATTCGCACAGCCTCGCCCAGAGCACCTCAGCCCTCGAGTAAGGCAGTTCGGGGAAACCTATGAAATTGGCCTGTTCAGGTAATGTACACTGAGTGTTTACTAATGTTCCTGACTTAAAATACGTGCCCTCTAAATGTGAGTGTTATTACTCATTCACCTGTATTTCTTATTATGCCAAACCCCGCTTTCGTGTTTAATCCCTACCTTCCTCTCCTTCATAATGTGACTCAGCCCGCTCCTGACTTGTCTGCCCTCCACGCCATGATTCCTCTCTGCATGCGCATCTCCAGCTGCTTCAGTTCTTGCCCCTTTTACTACCGGGGGCTACTGGTTCTTTTTCGCTCCCCACATCTTGAGTTTCATTCTCTCCCACCTTCATTGTTACTTCCTGTGTTCATCATGTTCCCAGCCTTTTGCTGCCCCCTCTTCATTAGTTGCTTCGTGTTCTCTCTTTCAACACCTTGACTGACACGGTTACTATCCATTTAGATTCGAAATTCAGTTTGTGAAACAGACATGTTTTTCCAAACTCCATGGCAAAAACAACTTCTTATGAATCAAATTTAATGGTTTGCATGTACAGAAACTTAATATATGTAAAAGTCACATACTATAAAGCGAATCACTATGGCCTTTCTTTTGTACAAGTACACACACTAAATGAGTTGGTGTAACATCCTGACACCTCTTTCTTTTACCACCTCTAATTTCAACTCCATGATGTAACTAGGACTCCATACCGCCAGCCCCCAGTCCTTCTGAAATGTTACACTAACAAACAGGAAAAGAAAAATCTCACTCTCCCTTTTACTTCCATTTATCCTTCTCTCTGACAGTATCACCCGTCTCCACTCTCCCAAGCTGTCTTGCCCTTTGCTTCACATCTATTACAGCTGGAGTGTTTCCAAGTTTAGTTTTGCATCTATCAGCCTAGTTCTTTTTCTACTAGACTTGATGTTTAAGTTTACCTTTTCCTTTTTTTCATGCCAAAGGAGGAGTCTCAAATCCAATTACTTGCAAATACAAAAGACACTCCTATATTTATTAAACAGGATCTCTAATCTGTTCTGGTAAGTAAATACTTTTTAATGCAAGTGCCAAATAAAATCATATTATTAATATGCATACTTACACTCAGCATATTTCTGAAGCTGAGAAAATTCTGAGGGGCTGAGGTGGGCCCACTTTTCCTGGTTTGTCATGGTGGCGGTGGGGAGTTCTCTTACATACCAGGTGAGGAATTCTTTCTTCAGAAGTCTGGCAGAATTCTATGCTTCAAAGTTTCCACATGGTATGTCTCATTATAAAATACCTCAAGCTTTCAAAATATGCAGGCTGTCAACAGGAAACCACTGTGGACATGAGTTTGTAGTTTCAATAAGGTCTTAAAGGACTGCAGAAAGAAAAACATAAAGATCAAAAGATTAGCATTATTAAAAAGAAAAAAAATGGTAAGTTGTAGAATGTTAAAGATTTTTAATTCCTAAATAATATATTTTAAAGTTATTCTATTTTGCATAATACTCCATCTTGAATTGTTCACTCTTTAATGGCACTTTCATATATATTTCCTAATGCCAAATCACAGAAAAAATATGATTAAAAATACAAAGTGTAAAGATAATTGTGTAAGGTCTACTTAATACAAGGAGGTTTCTTTTGGTTTCTTCTGGTTCAGTTTTATGAACTCCACATTTCACGAGCAAACAAGGGTGTCATTTTTACCAATCAAAAACGTATCATTTATTTAATACCTAAACAAATAATAGGTAACTAGACCCGAGGTTTTTTTTTTTAACATTTTTTATTGAGTTATAATCATTTTACAATGCTGTGTCAAATTCCAGAGAAGAGCACAATTTTTCAGTTATACATGAACATATATATATTCATTGTCCCATTTTTTTCTCTGTGAGCTACCATAAGATCTTGTATGTATTTCCCTGTGCTATACAGTATAATCTTGTTTATCTATTCTACATTTTGAAATCCCATCTATCCCTTCCCACCCCCCGCCCCCTCAAGTCATTAAAGATGGGTAAATAAGCTCAAGAGTTCCCTGCACATACAATCTATTAGTCCAACCAGCTTTCCAGCAATGGTCTGGAATGTTCGTCAGTGGTAGCACGTCTATTTGCAACTATGCAAATCAATTTGGGGAGTTAAATAAATTGGTTTTTTTCTAGCAATAAAACAAAGAGAATAATTTTCATTTTACCATCTGTAAAAATCCCAATAAAGTTTACCAAATTAAAGCAATTCCAAATGCCTGACAGACTTTCATAATGATAGTAGATGGAACTACTGTGAATCATGCTTAAAAATAAACCCCTAGGTTGTCATGGACCTACATTCATTGCTACATCTATAAAGGCAAACAAAATGAAAAACCATCTGGTTTCAATTTTTTATCAGAGACAGTAATCAATTGCTCAGTAACCAAGCAGACTGACACTGCAATTGTTATAGAAACTGAAGCATTGAGAAACAACTTACTTGGATAGTTTATGAAACTGTATGACTGGAAGCCTTATGTATATAAATGCCATTACCTAAAGGCAGGGTACCTATATTTGGCATTAGCCTAAACCTTCTTCAGTATCTCTCTACTGTTCTCCACAGTCAACCAAACGACCTAACTGTTCTGTTGACTTTGACTAAAAGCACACACACACACACACACAAACACCTCTTCTTGTTGGTTCATCTGCTTATGTTTCCTGCAGTCAGTTTTACAAGGTGATAGTCTGCTACTGATGCATTAGCAGAGGCCACATTGCTAGGTCTTCTCTTCTTCCCAGGGGCTGCTCCTACATCACAGCCATGACTTTGTAGAGGCAATGCCAATGAAAAGAAATGAAAACATGTGATAGATATTTCTTTGTGTTTTCCACCCAGTTTCTTCCTGCTGATTCCATGCTTCACATTGATTTCATCCTAATTCTTTGCTTCTATCCAGTTACATGCCATTTTGGTAGGATGATAAAACAAGGTGTCCTGTTCTCTCCTCTCCAAAGAGAGACAGATGATTCAGTCGCATTTGTAACATCAGATTCTGTTTCATGGGGCTTTAAATGTTAAGTGGAGTTATTCAAGGACAGGGTGAAAATAGCTGTATCTAAATGATTACAGCAATAACGGGATACTTGTCCCTGTCGGAGCCTGACTCTCCAGGTTATCTTTTCACTTCTGGAAGCAGGTAGCATCATTTTAATAAGGGCTTAAGGGGGAGAATCAGTTTCTGTTGCCTACAACTGCAAAATCAAAATTGATGATAATGGCTGTTCATTTATTCATTCCAAAAACTGTTTACTGATCTCTTCTGTGCCAGAAACCATTCTAGGCACTGGAAATACGACAAAGATCAAAACATACAAAAAATGAAAATAATATAAATTCCAACAATATGTCAGGTTTACTGTATGCATGGCACTCTCCTGAGAGCATTCATGTGTTACATCATTCAGTCTTCAGGAAGCAACTCTGTGAGGTGCTAACAGTGCCCCATTTCAAAATGAGGAGACTGACAACAGGTGATAGGAATCTGGTGGAGAAGACAGAGATTCCCAGAAACCTGCTCAATATCCATTCTCTCTTGCTTCTTTGGTAACAGAACCCTAACTTTGTTGAATGAAAACACACCCACCTAAACAATTACATTCTTCAGGTTCTTTGCACAAAAAAGTGGCCAGCGAGATGAAAGTGGACATGGGGTGAGGTATACGAGAAGGTTCTATTTGAGGAAACAGCTGATACGTGTACTTTTAACCTTGTTTTCTCTTCCTCCAGCCTCCTACCTGAAATGTTGTCATCTTGGCTGCAAATTCAGCAGTTTCTTACGCTACTGACACAACTTTCAGAATGGAAGCCATGTGGGGGAGAGGATGCAGCTCAGTGGTAGAGTGTGTGCTTAGAATGCATAGGTCCTGGGTTCAATCCCCAGTACCTCTGTTAAAAAAGTATTAATTAATTAATTAATAAACCTAATTACCTCCCCGTCCAGGGGAAAAAAAAAGAATGGAAGCCACATGCTAAGAATAGCAGAATCCCATAAAGTAGACCAGGGGCAGGCAACTAGCAGACTGTAGACAACTTTGGAACATCATCTATTTTTGCAAATAAAGTTTTATTGGAATACAGACACACCTAGTAGAGAAACGAACAAGAGGCTAACTGTTGAAAGGATTTCAATGCCAAGTAAAGAGAGCTGGGCATTATTCTGAAGGTAGTAAGGAACTACAAAACAAGCCAGAAACCCGATTACTTTGGGAAAATGTCATTTTGGATTAATGTCAATGTCTTCACTCAGTTTCTTTCTCTTTCCCTTCTATTGTGATAGTTTCTTTACAGGGCCCTGAGCTCTCTCTTCTTTCCTTAACACAGCCTATCCTTAAATGTCCATGTATAGTCAAAAACTGAGATGATTCCACAGGTCTGCCTAATAAATTACCAAGTTAATTAATAAATTAGAATAGCAGTTAATTACTTAATTAATTATAGTTTTCCACATGGCTACCTGCTCAGAAACTTATTAAAATTCCCCAGTTAGTTTCAGATAAGTCACTCAAATTTAAAATGACTGGTTAACTGGCATCTTTGAGATCTTTACATGAATGCTGTCTTCACAATAAAGTCTCACTTAGTCATTCAGTTTAAAACTGAACACACCATCCCTCCAGCATTCTTCTGTTTTGAATATAACACCTTATTATCAAATATTTAACTTATTTATATTATTTAATGTTTGTCTCCTCACACTAGATTTAGGAGCACACAAATGATTTTGAGCCAGGATGGGATTCCACAAAAAGGACAAAACAACTAAAAATATTTATCGAATTTGCCCTTGATTTTCATTAGAATGTATGGATTAGATTTTGTGTCACCATCTTCTCATGTGCTCTAAGATGTAATTCCCATAAGGGCAGGGATTTTTGTCTGTTCACTGCTGTTTTCCAGTGCTTAGAAGAGTGCTTGGTATATATAAATATTTATGGAATGACTCACTTAAATGCTTTTTTCTTAATGAAAAACTTGGGTAGGAGAGTTAGAAGGAGCCCTCACACTGACTAAGAGAAAATGGTACGTAAAGAAGGAGTCACGAACAGAAGTCACTGTGGGTTTCACTTTCCCTAGGAGCCACGCCCCTCCCTTCAACTGAATGGACATAAACAGAAGAAGTACTTGGAGATACAAAACTTTCACAGTTACAAGGAAAAAAAAAAGCTTTATTTCATAGTTCGTATTTTTGGTTGTTGTTAAATATAACTGACTTTGTATAAACGAGTACCATTCCCGAGGGCTGCCATAATTGAGATGTCAGTTAAGCAATTCATAATAACAACACTTACACGAGTTCAAGACAGCATTTAAATTATTTTTAGATACTTAACAAAAACACTACTCAGCTTTCTTTGATTTAGTATGAGCTTGTCAACTTAGGTCTTCACTTTTTGTGATCGAGAACAGCTTTTCTGGATTGACCTCACCCAACTTGCATTTTAGCAAGTGGTATTTAGAGAGTAAGGTAACCCTGAAGGACTCAAAGTAAATTCTCTTAGGTTCTTAGATTTGGTTAATTCCAACATCAAGATGCTTTGAATAAAACTCTTTCTCATCCTTCTCTTAATGGAAGCCTTTGGTTTCTCACACTTCCGATAGTTCCCACTCTCATGCAGCCAAATAAGGAAAAATAATAATAATAATAGTAGTAGTAGTAGTAGTAGTAGTAGTAATAATAATAATAATAGTAGTAGTAGTAATAATAATAATAATAATAATAATAATAATAATAATAATAATAATGTGGGGTACAAATGGAAACGGTTTTCCTAATCAAACCTTTAAACTAGCTGATCTGATGTATCACAAGTCTCTGTAAAGGGACCCGTGGCCTGTGCTAATGTTAAATCAAGAGGCACAGCTCTTCCTTATGCCTCAGAGGGAGATGGGAATGATGGCAACACTTTTATGGTCTCTGCCCCTTGATAAATGTATAGAAAGAAAACGAGATTCCTTATGGTGCTTTTATGGACTCCCCACTTCCTGCAACGGGTTCTCTTCAGGCACAAAAAATGAAAGCCAGGAAGGATCCGCTTTGCTGGCTGTCGGGATGCGGTCTAATTCTGACATTCTCACTGAGTGAATGGATGTGCCACTTTGCTTGGCTGGTGGCAGGACGTTCTTGTATGGGAGGAGCTGGAGAAGGCTCTCTGGATTACTGAGCCTGGACTAAAACACATTCTCCATAATTAGGGAAGAAAATCAACCTTCTCATGAATAAGGCACAGGCAATGTCTAGATAAATTGATTTGATGGGTTCGTTGTGTTGTTTGTTCGTCACATAAAGTGTAGATTCCTAAATAATGATTAGAACTCAGCATGTGATGACTC